CAGATTCCAGTTTCATACAAAAGGGCAGGGTTCAAGGGGCTAGGGACCGAGTTTCTTTATGAAATTTTTAAAGCATATAGGACATCAAGTCAAGTATTACCAATCCAATAATCAGCCAAAATTCTCGAGTAGAAAAATTATGAAAATTTCTTGAACGAGCAGGGGTCAAAATGACTTCAAAAATCCGAAGAGGCCATCAATTAATTTTTAAAAATTATCAAACTTTCTAGATCACTTAAACACATCATGGAGGGTCCAAATTCACAATATTTCACAAGAATTATCAAGGTATACCATATAATCATCAATATGGAATAGATCTTATATAAGATCCAATGATTCAATCATATTTCATCAAATATCAACCAAACCCATCATATAACATCAAAGACATACAAGAAAAGAGGGATAGTCATCCCTTAACGTTCACCACACGAGAGATCAAGCAAAAAGAGTGAAGGGTTTGTTAGTGTTATATACTGAAAGCTTGGCTTTGGATGATATTACACTTTTATCCTTTATGAATGAGAAACATGTTAGATTAAACAAGTTCTACGTTATGTTGTTTTGCATTAGATAGTGTGGGTCGTTATCGGGCGAACCCAATATCATACTATCAGTTACTCGCGAAAGAAGAATAAGTGGTTCACAACTCAGATGGACATGAACACCCCATCGTGAACGGTTGTAGTGTCAACCGTACAGTTTGTCTTGACTGATTAGTTTCACCAATACATTTATGTATTGAACAGGATCCTAGAGAGGAGCAGTTCGCTTTATACGGATCGTCGTAAACGAACTAGGCCTCGGTTAATTACTGCGTACTCTTAACCCATAAGATATTAAACAACCATATATGTGTAGTATTTATTACTTTGATTCACATGGGTGAGGCTTAGTGAACTGGGCCTATAGACCTACTGTCTTGGGTAATATTGTTGCATGTAGGATGTGCTGTTAGGATATTTACGGTTACCATGTGCGTGAGTTTGATGATGTCCCCGGAGTGAGTTCATGAAGGATTATTATGCTAAACCCTGCAGGTGGATTAAATTACGGGATAGTAATAATGTGATGAACGAGCGCTAGCTTCGGTAAAATAATAATAAATTGATTAATTCTTGATTGTCAGTAATCGAATTAATTAATGGACATTATATCTTAAACATGGGGAAATAAATCGAGTAATTATTATTGGAATCTCAATTGTAAATTGGGCTAGGAAAAGGGAGTACAATAATATTATGTCGGTGGCCCATTTAATATTATTTAACTAATTAAAATAAGTGGCTTGGTCCACAAGTATTTTAATTAATTAAGGAATCCTTCTCCTAATCTCCTAAGGGTCCCTACTGTAGCTCTCTATATATACATCATTAAGCTCATGGGAAGAGAAGAGAATTCCACAGCTCGTGAAACACGCCCCACGCCATCTTTTCTCTCTCAGTTCCTATTCGAGCTTTATCTTCTTCTTGTTGTTCCACCGGTACAAGATTTAGAGGTGTTTGAGACATATAGTAAAAGATCTGTAGGTAAACTGAGACGAAATATATTTTGTCGTACAGAACTAATCGGAGGTCCGATCAAGATGTGCAGCACACCCAGACGACCGTCTCGACGAGAGATTTACAACGCTGCCGAGATTGCCGCCATTCGACGCCGCACGCGCCCTCACGAGCCACTGGAAGCTCCCAGGACTGCAAACTTGTCTTCATCCGTTTGCACCCGTTTGATCTGATTATCGATCTGATCTTGTTCGTGCAACCCTAAGACGTGATTTGCAGTCAACTTTTCATTGATTTGCTGCGTACGGCCATCCAGAAGATAAACCAGATCGCCATAAATTTTAATCAGTAAGTTCTCTACGCAAACCTTTAGACCCGTTGCGCATAGATTTACGTTTTGCTATTGAATTCGTGATTTGTGCATAACGAGATCCTCATAGATCCCAACAGGGTTCGGACAAGGAGCCTCGAGCGGGGCTTGTATGCGTGTGGGGTTGCTCGCGGGTTGAGAAGGCCGTGGACTGAGGGTGGATATGGATGGAAGGAGGTTGTACGAGCGATGATTAGGATGAACGGAGGTTGGACGTCGGCCCACGAACGAACAAATGCGATCGGCAGCAGCTCCTCCTCGGTTGGGCAAGCGCGGGGAAAGGTGCAGCGGCGATGGGGATGCGACGGGGTTTGGTGGTGTTTTTATGGATTTTCTCTCAAGGATTTTCTCGTGAACCAGAGAGATAGAAGAGGAAGAAGTCATTTCTCTGATTTTGTAGGGTGGGGCGGCGTGTGGAAAGAGGAGAGGAGTGAAGGAAAAATATCCCTTTATAAAGAGACTTGGAGAAAGGATTATCCACTTACCAAATAAGGCACATTTAGGGCTTCTCAAAACACTAATGCACGGCTGATGAGGGGGAAGAAAGGGCTGGTCCAATTTTTTTTTTTTTTTCAAATACACATCACAATTATTTGAATTTATCAATGCAAAAGAGAGAGAAAAATTCTAAAGCACAAATAGGTTCACAAGAGTTTAAGGTCGGTTCATTCAGCATTTGGGCCGGGTTTTAATGACACATTGGGCCGAAAAAATACATCAATTGGATCATAAATTATATAGTCGAGGTTCGGGTCGAAATGACTCGATAACGAATCAAGACGAATTAAATTCGGCTTACGCGATTAAACCGAAAATCGCCGAAACAATTATTTTGTAACTCAATTAATCCAAATAAATTCATACACATAAATAAATAATAAGAAAATCACATAATAAATAAGGACAAATAAGCATATAAGAATTAATATTCAAACAGATAAATAAAATAGGCAAAGACGTATTAATGACAATAAACGAGCATTTAACATAAGGTAAAGGAAATGATCAAATATGAAGCAAATAAATAATCATATCTCCGAAAAATTATAATAAACGAAAGGGGCACTACAGTTAGGCCGGTCACCCAACCGTACTTCCCTCCAAACCGAGGTCGTAGAGAATGCACCCGAAGATGTAAGTCTCAACCTCATACTGTCCGAACCATCCTCCGAGATGGGTATCTGCTGGATCTCATCTATCTCTTGGTCACTAAAGCCCGCTCCACTACCCAGAATCCTTTCTAACCTATAATTATCCCATCCCACATCCGTCTATAGGTCCTTCACCTGCAGAAAGGGAAGGTAGGTGACCTGTCTAGTACTCGAAAGGGAACCCTCACCCGAGTTTCAGAAATTATTGATCAGACTGCATGAATTCATAGATGTAGAGATAGGGCAACATTTTATAAATTTGATAACTGTAAAGGACTAATGAGCAATTTTAGACATATTAATTATATTCAAGTTAGTTCAAGGGGCAGATCTGTATTTCACAAAAAATATAATAAATCAATAATTATTATAAATAAAATGCAAATAGTTAGTACGAAATGAAATTAAAAATATACAGTAATGTCAAATGCATACTACAGTTAGATGGAGTGCCCATTAATGCATGTGAGATAGCACACTAGTGTATAATTCGCGCACATAATCATATAAAAAAGAATTTTTTTTATATGTTAAGGTTCGGGGGCCTTGTGTTGATATTCAGGTTGAGAAATGGAAAAATCTCAAAATCCATATTGTCAGGTTCCCGAGCTATGAGATCCCAGGTCGGACAACCCTGCCCGATTAGAGGATATTGACCTCATGGGTATATGCCGTGATTGAGGTGAAATCAGCCATCAGTCGTACGACCTCAGTGAACTACTGAGGTCGGGAGCCCCACATCACCGTCGCGGGTGGATGTTATAATATTCCCACTTACAGAATCAATGATGATCGATGGGATAGGCCTACCGTTACGATATGCTTATGTCCGCTAGGCCCGTAGGGCAACCTACCAAACATTATGTCCATCAATCCAGCACTAAATTGATGCGGCCCCGATGAACAGTCACCGAGCATCCTGATATAAATGGTCCTAAGAAGTTATCAAAGAGAAACGTGGATTCCTAGAGACAAATGTAATATATTGCATATAGTAATAAAAGAGAAAAATCCCTCACTTAAGATGGAATCCGACCCCTTATGATCGGATAATCCAACCTCGATAAATACCTTTTTTTGTTTTCTGCAAATCACCCATTTAAACTCGATGATTACAACCTTGATGACGAACAAATAGACTTTTTGTGTTTCTTTACAACACATTGTTTTATAAACTCTAGATCATTAGTCATTACGACTATATTACTTGAAATGATTTTTACATTAGAAATTATCATTAATTTAAATCTCTTTCCAAACCAGTGCCACGGTAGTCTTGGTTATAACACGAAATTCTGTCCTAACCCAATAGACAGATTCTTACAGCATAGAATGATTTGCATGTCGCATTTATTTACTTATTTATTTTTTCCAAACGATAAACTTGAATTAAACTCTTTTTTTTTTTTCTTCAAAGTATTGAGGAATCAATACTGGTTCCCCAATTTCTTCCCGGGTGACTCGAACTCGGGACATAGTACACGCCGAGCGAAGGTACGCGCCACTGCGCTAACCCCTCTTCGTCAAACTTGAATTAAACTCTAACACCAAGTCTTTGCACGTGACATTACGAGGCTAAATTCTGGAAATCTATATTGGGATAAAATTATGAAGCACTGTGAATCAAGTGACCTTCCCACTTATATCCTTCAAACACTTTCACCCCTTTGTAGTTTGGAATCGGTTGCTATTCGAGCTACAACTCTCCAAGGAAAATACTTGACATATAACCATCAGCAACCTACAAGAACTCCCCTTAACTTCATAAAGCCAGATATTTACTACATTGCAGTTCTCAGGTCATATCTTATTCAAATTCAACCTGTGCTGCATAATTAGTTTTATATATTTATCAAGGCAAAGACGACTGTATCATTGCCAAGCTAGACTCGCAGCTGTCTTGCCAAAACGGGAATAAAAAAGCCCTCACCATCTAGATGTCCGGTCCCACGAGCTTCATTACATAACCAAACCTCAGTTTCTCACTCTATCATTCAGCCACATAATAATACTCTGGGCAACTTCTTCCTTCTCAGGCTCAAACAGCAAATCATGAAGCAGCCCTTCATAAAGCTTGATGGTTTTGTCAGTTGAGGCAGCCTCCTCATAGAGCTTGCGCGTGGCCTGCGGGTCGGTGACCGAATCAGCCATGCCATGGAGGACAAACAGTGGCACGGTCAACCGGCTCAGGTTCTGCTGAAGGTAGGATGTGACCCTTAGAATCTCATAGCCAGTCCGGACGCGAATGGACCCTGTGAACACAAGCGGGTCCGAGTACTTGGCGACCAGCGCCTGCGGGTCCCGCGAGACTGCGATGCCCCTCTTGTTGGCTGCGCTGAACTGGAATCTCGGCAGCAGCAGGGAAAAAACAGGAGCTAGCATCTATAACTCGAAAAAAAGAAAAAAATAAATTCAATCAGCTTTTCTTTTTTTCGTTTTACAAATTATACTTCTAGAACTTGTTCACCAAAAAATTCCAAGTCAGAAATTCCTATTTTTCTTGGACATTGAGTTAGATGGTATAAGCGAATACAAAGTTTTAAATGTAAAATTTCCTTTTCTTTCTTCC